CACCACTAAATGACTTTACCTTCAACGGGCCACAAACATCAGAATGCACCAATTCAAGCAACTCTGACTTCCTTGAGGGAGGATGCTTCTTGAAGGATACTCTAGTCTGCTTACCAGCCATGCAATGAGAACATTTCTCCAACTCTGCACTCTTCAATCCCGGAAGCACATCCTTTTTAGCTAAACAATTCAGCCCCTTTTTCACTGATATGACTAAGCATGCGGTGCCACAAAGAAGCCTCCATATCCATGACATTCACACTGTCTTTAGCAATCAATGCTTTAGTCCAATACAATTTATTATCTTTCTCCCCTCTAGCCACAACCAAGTTACCTCTGGTGAGTTTCCATTTTCCAGAACCAAAGTGATTATCATAACCACCTTCATCAAGCATGTGCACAGAAATCAAATTGAAGCGAACATCTGGAGCATGTTTGACTCCTCTCAGCAACAACTGCACTCCCATGTTGGTCTGCAAACAAATATCACCAATATCAACTACCTTGGACACACCATCATTACCCATCTTCAACACTCCAAAGTCACCAGCAGTGTAAGATGTGAAGAACTCCTTCCTTGGTGTAACATGCAGTGTAGCAGCACTATCAACATCCCACATGCTCTCATCTGATACAAGATTGACTGAATCATGGTCACGGAGAATAATCAGATCATCACAAGTAGCAGTAGTAACACGGTCATCATTATCATGAGTCTTATCTCTCTTCTTACTATTATTGTTTCTGTTCTCCCTTTTCCATATGAAACAGATTTTCTGTATGTGCCCCATTTTGTGACAATGATTGCACTCAACATTCTTGTATCTGGACTTGGACTTACTTCTGTTGTTGTCTCTACTCGCACTCCTGTTATTCTGCCGGTTCCCTTTCGGTTCCTTTTTCTGACTCCTGCCTCTGTTTTCAGTGACAAGTACCTCAGAATGAGATGAAGTACCCTGTGCCTTTCTTCTCATCTCCTCATTCAGAACACTTCCCTTTACACTTTGCAAAGAGACAACACCATCAGAAGCTGAGTTTGTAATTGAAACCCGAAAATTTTCCCAAGAATCTGGTAGAGTATTCAGTAGCCATAGTCCCAAAATTTCATCATCAAATTTGATACCCATACCTGACAATTGATCTAGGAGCCCTTGAAAATCATTCAAGTGATCCGAAATAGAAGTTCCCTCCTTGTACCTCAAATTCATCAAGGAATTCAACAAATACAACTTATTATTCCCTGATTTAGAAGCATACAAAGATTCAATCTTCTTCCACAAGGATTTGGCATGTTCCTCATTAGCAATGTGATTATAAAACCACAAACCTGCTGATGTTCAAAATTCTACTCTTCATCAGTTTTGGATTCCGGCTTCTCACTAGCAAACACAAGAAGATGCATATTTTTCACAAATAACAGATCCTTCATTTTTCCCTTCCACAAATGATAATTAGTGTCATTCAAAGAAATCATTCTATTTGTATTTGCCTCCATCATTCAAACAAGTCAAACAACCCCTTAACCAAAGAGCTCTGATGCCACTCTTATGGGAAATTCAACAACAATTAACAGTAACAACTCTAATAGAACAATACACAGCGGATATAATTTCCCTAACTTATTGAATCTGTGAGGAGCAACAACAAATAATGCAGCAACTAAAAATCAACAACACAAAGAGACACCAAGATTTTTAACGTGTAAAAAACCTTCTCAAAGTGAGAAGTAAAACAACCACGGGCACAAGCCAGTAAACAAGCTCCACTATGATCAATGTATGGGTACAAGAGAGTCTAAATGTAGTACAAATCATGCTCAACAATCAGCCAAAACAACAAGGCAACAAAACATGAAATAGAGAACAAAGAAGAACCAGAAAACTCCAAAGGGCTGCTACTGTGCGTGGCCAATATCTCCCACCTCAGACCTCTGATCGCCGATCACACTGTTCAGATTGAAGAACCGAATGTCAGGAACCTGTAATTCAAATTTCAGCCAAATCGGGCGGTGAACGAAGGAGATGTCGCGATTCTAGTGCAGCTGCTATGTGTATGTGCGAAAATCTGTTTCTCTTCTCTTCTCTCACTTTTCTCTTGCATCTCTTGCCTAAATCAGACCTCTCACACTTGCCATAATTGACCCCTCTCCACTTAGATAAGTGAGACACATGGACTTGCACATATTGGGCCTTTCTCCACATAGGATGGGAGCCCAAAACCCAACACTTTGGTGTTGCTTGTAGTATCTTTTAATTATATAATGATAATAATAGTGTTATAAAGTTTAAAATTATAGGAATTATCAATCTCTCGATAAAGTTTATAACAAATAAAATTTAAATTATTCATATTTTATATGGAGTTATATTTAAATCTACTCAAAATTCAAATGTTAAAAAAATTTACAGGTATAAATGTTATCAAAAATTAATGTGAAACTTTTGTGTAAAGATATCATATTTTCACTTTTCATTTTAATATAATTATTACTTTAGAATATTAGTATAATATTTTTATCTATTAAATTTCATTTTACATAAGCTAATTATAATTAATAAAAATGTGTTTTAGTAGTAATATTAATTTTACCATTAAATACAATTATTTTATAAAAAACACCATTTAAATTCATAAAACAAATATTTATAAATGAATATAAAGAAATAGAAGGTAAATGGATAATAAAATGCGTCGCTACTCTTTTTTAACTGACAAAGTCAATTTTATTACTCTCTCTATTCTAAAATAATTGTCGCATATAATTCTAATTTTTATCTTTCAATTATACCCTTTAATTAATATTTTCAATTTATTATTTTCTCACTATACATATTTATGATAATTTGAATACACCAATAATAAAAAAAGATAATTTAGTAAAAATAACATTCTCTCTATTTTATTTATTACATTATTTTATTCTGTATAAAATGATCAACTATAATAATTATTTTAGAACAGAGAGAATAAAAGATTTGAACTCTGAGTCTTGTGTAACTATTTTAGCCCATTTATAAAAGTGAATGTGACTACAAAAACAACTTGAGTTGAAAGTACAATCTCTAATGCTTTTTAAGTCTAATTTGTCATCTCCATGTCACATTATGGTACCCTTTTCGGTAATAATACCTAGAGAATCTTTTAGTACACCCTTGTATTTTATTAGATACCTCTGATAAAATTTCTATAATATCCCTTAATTCAGATATGCATATCCGAACTCACCATATTTCAGTTTTTTACTAAATAGGTTCAAAGATGCATATCCGAAGCCACCAATTTTTTTTCCAAATATACATTTTTGAAATACGCAGAACCAGTAACAAAATCAAAACTCTTAAAACCAAAGCAACTTAAGATAGATTTAGCATAAATAGTTGAAATTACATAGATAGTTGAACATAAATTTAACATTAGATATTGTCATAAACGGATAACTGAGAACGTTGTAACATTTTGATAACATCTTCTGCTGATATTTGAAGTTTCACATCCACTTCAATCAAACCCTTAGTAGAGTATCGCTGAAAAATACTCCACATAACTCTTAAATCATCATCCATCTTCAACTCAAACTTGGTGAACTTTATCTTACCTTTAGTGTCAAATGAGGGTGAATGATACTCAACTTTGACCACCTTTCAATTTTCTGGATATTGCAAGAGAGAATTCAGTGTGGTAATCAGACAAGCGTGAGGCGTGTCCTCGGAAACTCGAAACTGCAATGGCGACATGTTACCATTGAAGTAAACAAAAGCAAGATGACGATACGTTAGACTCATCTCTGTTTGTGGTTTGTGATGTTGAAAAAATGATTTAGACACCTTATTTATAGAAAAGATGGAGCAATTTGGACCCAATAATTCTTATCCTCCTACCAGTGCATGTTTCGGATATAAACATTTGAATTAACATTTTTTTAGGAAATTCGGGAGTTTCGGATAGACATATATGAAATAATCCCTGTTTTGTTTTTAAAAAAAAATGAATGTTCGTTCGGAGATGCGTATCCAAAATAACCCCTGTTATGTTTTTTGAAAAAGAAAGTAGGTTATTTCACATATTCATATCCGAAATATGCAGAACTAGTAACATAATCTCTTTTGGCAAAGTCAGTACCATAGAAACGTGGAGAGAATTTAATCAATAAAAGTAAACAGCAGTAAAATGTAAAAGACATATAGAATTTACATCGCACACGTCAATACATTCAAAAAATAGTTCGATTACATTCTAAAATACACCGAACGAAATATAATCGCTTAAATCTAAAACCGAGTCTTTCATCACATATCCGAAAATACCACTGAATATTTAAATCCAACATTCAAATAATAATGTGTAAACAGAGAGATTTCAGATATGCATCTCCAAAACACCTTGAAAATTAATTTAGGAGTTCATTCGAATATACATAGGATATTTTAGGGTTTTCAAATATTTTTTTCACCATATAAAGGTGTACCTAAGAAATTCTCTAACACTTAAGATTAAATTCAAGTGACCCAAACAAATTCTAGTTTGTAACACAGATTTGAATAAGAAAATATCCACACAAAATTGTTACAGAAAATTTCCAACAAAAAAATACTTTCGCATTATTAAGTTTAATAAAAAGTATATTTGCAAACTTTAATTCAAACACACTACATTCACTATAATCTTAAGAAAATCCTCATAATGTTCACATATAACAACTTTACAGCCTTATTGAAAAAAACTTCACACAATAAACTAAGTATCACACTCCTCCCCCGATTCTCCCCAATTGTCTTAGTCGAGATATCAAGAGGCAGAGATAAAATCGAAAAAATCAAAAGTGATAAAGTGGTTCGGGAAAGTAATATGATAAGTTTGAACTTCTAAAATGACAATCATCTAATTCCTGTAATGCCTGAGATTGCAACCAGCTAGAAGTTTGAAAAAAAACTGTAGGCGACCTAAAATATCACGCAAGAATAGAATGAACATAGATCTGAGTTAATGTAAAAGCTGCTTCCCTAGTATTTTCTTAAATGTATATCCCAAAACTTAGAAACTGGTCCTCCTTCTGAATCAGTGTCACTGTCTGAAGAAGATGCTATGGATAGAGAATCATGTAGAAGATATTCCACAACCTGAATTTAAAAAACCTTTACAGTCAGTATCAGCGCTATTTAGTTCAGTAAATAATGTTTTAGAACAGCAGAAGAAAATCAACATGATATAATGAAATAAAAGTGTGTTTTAATTTTGCGGAAGAAGCTAATCCCTCACAACTTAGCAAACTACTGTACATATAGATAGGTGTCCATGTGGTGTTCAGCATTTCCAAACACAGGATTGTCTCTGGTAGGAGTAGACATTGAGTTCACCTAAAAAAGTAAGTTTTATTCTCGAAATAACTGTATCAATGAATTACATATTTTCAAGCATGAACTCAACAATTTTGAGGCAAAAGAAAACTAGTTTCTGCCAAAGGGACAGTTTGCCAGGGATCAACTGAAAAGCTCTAATACCCATCATAATTAAAACTAATGGAGAACTTCTGAAAAACTATGTTCAAAACTTTCTTTACAATATAGCTTGTTTTCACATGAATCTGTTACAAATACAATCCAGGAGAACAAAATTCATATTTTAGTTTAGTTTTACATGAAGTAGAATTTGGACTGCATCTAAGAAACTATTACAATAGTTGCACCTCCCAAGCTTTGTTGTCAATAGCAGAATGACGAAGCGGTGGTAGGATTCTTTAATTGGGGTTGCTGCAGCCGCTAATTGCAACGAAATTGCGGCCCCAAACCGCTATCTGGTCTACTATTAGGGTTTCGGGGAGAAATTTCTCAAATCCATTTTTTAAACCGCGGTCTTTTTTACGGGTATACATGTCAATTCAAACTCTTTAAGGGTACCGTTTCATTGGTTTTGTTCTTCATTCTAATATGTTCATGCTCACAAACAATTCTTCCTATTTTTACTTCAGTTCTGTTATTATCTTCTTCTCTGTTTAAGTTCTCTAGTTTAGGTTTTTTAACTATTAAGTATGATGGTCTGGTTAATTTTGTGTACTTATCTATGTTTATGCGTTAACTTTGTCCGCTGATTAATTGTCTTTACAATAGCGGCTATTCTGCTTTTTTCGCTATAGCATTTTAGGAGATTGGTGTTATGCAAAGCTATCAGGAATTAAACAACATATGTTCCCAGAAGAAATAGCTATGATAAATTGACATAATATAAAATGGCTAAATAGTACATAACAAAATATACCTGGAATTGCGTTACAGGTTTGGTATCATGAATTTCAGATATCCTTCCTCCATGTACATTGGGGCATTTTGAATTGTTTAACCAAACTATAGCTTTGCAGCGTTCACAGTATCCTCTATTGGTTGTTAATTTCTTGGATAATGCTCCTATATCAAAAGAGACTAATTGTGATGAGAAAAGAAAATAGGAATATGAAAGTATGCACATGTTCTCCATCTAAATGAGAGAAAGAATAGCATAAAAGTTGAACCGACAAAACATAAATGAAATTCAACACTTCTTCCGACAGTTTTTGAAGGTGTAGTTTGGATCTTTATTAAGAATAAACGTTTGTTTCCAATCCCCATGTGCATCAATAACATTTAAAATAAAAAATCTTGACTACTTGAAGCATTTGTGAAAAGAAAACCAAGTTAAACCTCAGTTCTTGACCTCTAAGAAATCAACATTTGACTTACCAGTGTATGATCCTTTAACAGCCTCTTTCCAGTCAGTAACCGTCCTAGTATCAAGGGGTTTATGTAAAAGCTTATCATCAGGTCTCTTAGGGGGCTGTTTAGCAGCAGTGTCATACAGTACAGAATACTGTGATTCCCATAGATGGTTATCATTTGCAGCCACGTTGCATGACCTAAATGCAATATTGAGTCACCACCAGATCAATATTGTTATATTTTATCTAACACCATTCATGACAAATTTAATGTACTAGCCAATGCAAATAAAAATATACTATTAGCTGCTGCACCGTTTCGCATGCTCAAAAACACATGTAAGCCAAAACGATTAGTTGATGAAATATAAATAATTTGCATAAAAGGACAGAAGAATTACCAGTTGACTATCCCCGCTGAGACCAAAGATTGCATATCTAGAAAACTGAAAATGTGTACAAGAATATCTTGAGGTAGTTGGAATGAACCTGAAATACATGAAAAAGAAACTTGTTAGACACGACTCATTTTCCTTCTTAGGTAAAATAACACAAATCCTATTCTTAACTACAATCCAACCTTCCTCTACCTGGTGAGCTTTAGCGCGCCTCTTATGAGCAACCATTGCTCGCTTAAATTCTGTTACAGCCATGTTCTTTTTCTGTTTCGGCAGCGACGCCTCTACACTTTGGAGGAGTAAATGGACGGCGGAAACAGCATTCTCAGTCTGCATTCTAGAATTAGAGAGCATCAATTTCATTTCTAATGCAAAGGAAAGACCATTGGTTAAGCAAGATATGGTTGCAGTGATGAGTTAACTTCTGTGCTAGGGTTTATGTTTATTAATCTCAAGCTAGGAAAAATAGCATGATTCCATATCATTGTAATTGAGAACAAAAAAATAGCACACTTAATTTCATTCAATTTTAAGAATTTCTTATTAACGAAACAAACCAACAAGAAGAAAAAGTAGAGATGAAGAAATTGATGAGAATTGAGAATTGAGAATTGAGAAAGAGAAAGAACGTACTGTGGGAGGAGACGGAAGGAAGAGAGAGTATCTTGGAAAACGATGGTTTGCAAATTCTTTGGGAATTGATGAAAAGCTTCCCTGAGAATAAAGCTTAGCTCTTTGCAAGCAATTGGATATCTGTAGTTTATAGGTAGAGACTCTGTTAGGGCAAGTTTTTGGTACCTTTCTAATGGGGTTGCCATTGTTCTCAATTGAATTGGTGCAGAGACAGAGGATCAAACGACAAGGTTCGTCTTTTTGAGAAACAGAGAGGGAGAAAGAGGGAAGGTTGTGGTTCTGGACACGTGTCGGTGGAATTATGGCCAAACTAGGTCATTAAAAGTTTATTTTTCATATCCCCACTAAAAATGCTAGAGAAAAGGGACGGTGCACTCACACTCTATAAAATATACTCACACTATAAAATATTTTTATTTTTACATTATTAATTAATGACAATTATGTAAGTCATACGTATTTTAAAATATTTTGATTGAATGCATTTATAATATTTTTTACATGCACTATCATTAAACTCATAAAATAATAGTAAATAATAAGATTTTTTAATCACATTATAAAATATTTTTATGTGAGCCGACCAAAGACTTAAATTGATAGAGTTCTATTTATTTCAAATTTACTTCAATTCATTCATAATATATAATTCAGTCCACGTTAAAAGTAAGGTACATTTTTTGATCTCCATTTTTACTATACTTATATTCAATATTAGATTGACTTTAGCGTTAGAATGTTAATCTTGCAGGTCTGTTCAAGATCACTAGTTCATCAACTATATTCTATTTTTGTTCCAGAATAGAACATTGGCGCCGTTTGTGGGAATCAGCTTTCGATTCCTGCGAAATTCCATTATCAGATCAATCTCGATTTGAAATTAGATCTCCACCAGAAGCAGAAGGAGGAGAGACAGTAAATCTGATAATCATGATTGAGATCTTCAGTTCATCTTCTGAATTAATCGTTCATCAGTTATCATCTATCGATGAGTTCCGCGATGATGTGTCCTCTAACACCTATTATCTTCTAGATTGCTTTCTACTTATGACAAACACTGGCGATCAACAAAGCGGAGATCGATTGGATTTAGGTTTTCTATATCAAGAAAAGATCAATGGAAGTCTGAATTTCAATCTACCTTTTATTCTTGCTGTAACATCCCAATTCTACCCCAAGCAATTATGCAAAATAAATCAGAGTTATAAAATTTCAATCATACAAATGAATTGGGACGTCACAAATTATTCTAACAAATTCATTGCATTCATCGTGGATATATAACACTTTTTCAAACATCGGATGAACCATCAACATAACATTTTTAATCAAATAAATCATCATCTACGCAGTGGAATTCTTAATAACATCTCTAACAAAACAGCAACTTCGAAATATCTCATATTTAATAATAATCAATTTAAAATTCAACAACTGAAAATCAACGATCAAAAAATCAGCAAACGTTCATCCCCTGAGTGTTACATATCAGAGCAATAACACCGACTCGAACTACCGAAGGTATACAACCTTCACTCTCGATTACCTGCATGTTACCAACATAGGAGCAACATTCAAACAGAAGGGGTGAGAAATCTAACAATATAATTAAAGTGCATGATAATTAATATATTAAATTAGATCAACAACGTCACCACTTCTCATCTCATAATCAACAACAATCTCATCAATATACATTCATCCACATCAAAATACACTTCTTTATGAAATCATATAATGCGACTCAATACTATGTAAATACATGTGGTACCATTGGAGCAGAACTCCCATCTCAAAAATTTGCCAATTAATAGAGGCATTAACAAGGCATAGCCTTCATCTCAAAATTTGCCAATCCATGTCATCTCAACGAGCATAAGCTCCATCTTAAAAAATGTAATGTATGCGACACAATCATGAATGTAATAACAACACCCAAGTTAACAACATCTCAAATCATCTCAAACATCTCAAATTAGCATCTCGAAATAACATCTCAAAATACATCTCAAAATAACATCTCAAAGACATCTCAAATTAACATCTCAAAAACATCTCAAATCAATCACCATCTCAGATCATCAAAATAATGTATCATACATCTTTTATTTATTATAAATCATCAACATAATATTATTAATACTTCTCACTAACAACTCAGCAGTATTTAATTTCCACAGTAAATCAACACTGTCATTATGTAATTCTAACGTCAAGACCGTCACTTTCCTACTGTTAGTTCAAACAGCAGCTTCTAAGCATCTAACATTCATCGTTTTGTTCGAAAACAACGTAAAGGCCATCCCAGCTTCTGACCACACAGCCTCTAACCATCACTATCTCTAATGACGCAGCTTCTAATGACACAACCTTTGGGCGACACAATCTTCTGAGTACTATAACTTCTGACTAATGCAACCTCTAATCAGATGCAACTTATGATCATCACAGCTTCTAGCTAACCCCATACAACTTTTGATCATTACATCTTCTGACTAACCTCATCATCTGACCAGATACAACTTCTGATCATCACATCTTCTGACTAGATACAACTTCTGATCATCACATCTTCTGACTAACCCCATCTTCTGACCAGATACAACTTCTGATCATCACATCTTCTGACTAATGCCATCTTCTGACTAATGCAAATTCTGACTAGTGCAACTTCTAACATCAGAACTGTTATTTTCTAATGATTCAACACAACTTCTAACAACTTACGTCTGACTTCATAACTGTTATTTTCTATTCATCCTATTGTTCTAATTCATTGCCTGATATTAATCCAACTAAGAACAGTATGACAAATTCTACTCTCCAAATTAATTCATTAATTCTAATACAGTAGCGCCTGATATCAATTTGCCAAATTCTGCGTTTTCATTACTGTTATATTCTACGTTTTTCATCACTGCATCTCACTATGGTTCCATAACTAAAGCCCTAAAACTTATGATAATCATGTCAATTCATCACCCATAATTACCCTATAACCTTACAACATTTTAACAGCATCAAGACATCAATATTCATCAAAATTCATCAATCCTCATCATACATCAATCATATATTCTCAATTCAAGAACAAGACAACAATCACCTCTAACCCCACATATCAATTATCATAAACCCAGATTATAGAGTCAGAACTCCACCCTTACCTTAGATTGAAGGTCGCTCTTCCAAATCCTTATTCTTCTACTGCTTCTTTCTTTCTATTCCTTCTAACAAATAATAAAATAACCCTATTATTCTATTATTCCTTATTGGGCTTAAAACCAACACCCCCCCTTATTACTTATATTCCTTCAAAATAAGCTCACATTAAATAATATTACACTTCTAATATTATTTCACCACATAATATTATATCTCTAATATTATTTCTCCACTTAATAAAATAAATCCAATTAATTATAACACATCTTCATAAATATTCCAAAAATAATTTAATTAAATAATTAATTAAATTACGGGCGTTACACTTGCAATCACTATTATCGATTAAAACTTGAAAAGATTCCTCGTGGATGACGAAAGCTCATGTAACATCCTATACGCAGACACGTTGGAACTATTAGGTATCCAAAAATCATATATGAATTTGTATAGTGAAGAATATATGTTAGCTTTAAACAATTCGATGAATCGTCCTCAAGGAATGACATATCTGACATTGGCAATTGGAGAAGGGACATGTGAAATAAAGGTAATCCTCAGCTTTCTTATAGTCTCGTGCAAAATTACCTTTAGAGGTATCATGGAAAGATCCTTCTTAGTGAAGTTAGATGCAGTGGTGTCACCTATCCACTTAAAAGTAACATATCACAATATGGGAGGAAGACTGATATCTATTGGTGTCGACCTAGAGGAATCTAGGTGAATCCTAACGTGCCTCTAAAGGCACATTCTCGCATTGATATCAGGTGTAGAAGAAGAGTAGAGAAATTATGCTACCTTCAACCTGGATGCGGGCGAAGAGAAACTTAGGCCCACTATACATGATGAATTTGAATTCGTCTAACTCGGCGATAACCCTATGCGGTCAGTGAAGATAAGTTTGGGCTTACTCTAGAAGTGAGGTCCATTTTAATTTAATTTCTTCAAAAGTACACAAACCTCTTGCCTATCTCCCCACATGATATGTGTGACATTGATTCCAACATGATATGCCATCGGTTGAATATAGACAATGGCGCTTGATATGTCTCTCAACAACAGAGAAGACAATCCCTGGAGAAGGTTGAAGCATTGCGGGTGTAACACCCCATTTCTATCCAACAGATTATATAAAATCAGAGTTACAAGATTTCCAACAAATAAATAGAATGATGCATTTTCAACTAGGAAACAATGACATTCAATCGCCTATAGTTCAGATACATAACACATAAAATTCAGATGAACCGATGACAACTTGTTTAGTCTTTAAAAATAAAACAACTTTCATAATTAAGCAGCGAAATCATAATTTTCAACTCAAATGACATAACATCCTTATCCAACTGAAAACAACTTCAAAACAACAAGTACTTAACGAAAATAACTTAAAATTCAACAACATAATGAAAACCAACAATAAATGAAACACATGTGTTCATCCCCTCGAGTGCTACGTATCAGAGCGACAACACTGACTTGAACTAACGAAGGTAACATCTATCCTTCTTGATTACCATACGTTACCAACAGAGGGAAACATTCAAACAGAATGGGTGGGATATCGAACAATATAATAGGATGTATGATAAATAATATATTAGAATCAGTTTATACAAAATCACCACTTTGCAGCTCTTTAACAACATTTAACACAATTAATTCATCCTTACAACAACTCAGGATGCAACATGAAATGTGACTTATTTTTATGCACATGCATGTGGTACCAACGAAGCAAAACTCCCAACTTAATAATATGCCAATTAATAGAGGCATCAACAAGGCATAAACCTTCAACTTTATATTTTGCAATCCAGGCCAACTTATTGAGCATGAGCTCCCAACTTGATATGATATGTATGCAACAACAATATAAATGTAGTAACAACAACAATAATTCAACAATAACTCAACACAATTTAACATTGGCCATAAGCCTGCAACTTAATATCTTCCAATAATTAGAGGCGTCTCAACAAAATTCATCATCACCTTCAAAATCTCAAATTATAACAAA